AAATCTGTGTCACTCGTCTGACAACTGGTTTTTCTTTCCATGTTTTAAAAATGGGAAGAAACGAAAAATGGCAAATTAACGAATCAACCCATCTCGTCTGGATTTCTCTCTGTTAAATAGAAGCTGCAAATAACACCTGACTGAAAATGATTGAAATAATAATAATTACATTTTCTTATATCTCTGTTCCAACATCCCCCTCATGGGAAGCATGACAATTTATTTATTTTCTCTGAAACTCATGATCCAATATTAAAAACTGACGAGGAGCGAGTCAGACAAGAGCTTCACACCCACATTAATTTCTCTTTCAACAAAATAAACATCTTAATTTCATATTTAACATTTATTCATGGCCCATGAGAAGCTGTCAGTATTATGTTAGTTCAAATTCAAACACTTTCTCACTGATTGGCTCAGAGTCAACATGTCATTTGTTTTACCTCATTTATTTATTTACTCATGAATAATAAAAGTTCACATAAGATTCACTTTTCACTTCACTGTCACAAACCTCATCTTGGTTCAATTATAATTTCTCTTCTTGTATATTTGTTCTTCCCTCGTCATACCTCTTACTGTACTTTACATTTGATCAGTTTCTCTTCTCTCTTTCTTCTTGAATCCTTCAGAAACTCTCTGGATTTTTATTTTTGCGTAAAACAAATATAACAGGTGTCATTTTTTGCGCACAAATCTAACGAAAATCAAAGTTGATTCTTCAAAACTTTTTGCTCCTTCACTCCTCCATCCTTACCGAGAGGCTTGATGGTGCTCTCCTCCGTCTCTTTGTCCTTGCTGGGCTTCCCGCTGGACATCAGGGCCGCTATGGAAAAAGCATTTGCCCGGGATGACAGCTGCGGTTTCGGGGATGACGTGTACTCCATGTCCTTGGTAAAAGGCTTGGACCAAAAATATTCCTCTTTAAATAATTATAGTTGTAATTAGAATGAAAAAAAATCCTCCAAAAACTTTCGACCCCGCCTGTTTTTGGCTTCCAGCGGCAGGAGAAAAGCGCACAGTCTCTCCTCGACTTCGCGTCTTTACGCACAGTCGGTGGACGCGCTCGGCTCTGTGGAGACGCTCGTCACTGCCGGGTTGAGCTCAGGCTCGCTGGATGCATGATGCGGGAAGGAGGAGGACCGAGTCCGGAGACGTGTGTGAGTCCTGCGGTGCCAGATCTGTGGCCGGCTGCAGCTTTGGGAAGCTTCAGTCCTCAGCTTCACCCTCCCCTTATAATTCCAGCCTGCCCTCCAATCACTGCCTCTGCCTCCACGTCACACACCCACCGTCCCACAGCAGCTCTGATACCGAGCAGCCAATTAAATCACCTAAAGCTGTCAGGCTGTTTTTCTTCTTCATGTCTAAAACCTCAAATACACACACACACAGAGAGAATATTGGAAATTAATCTGTATGAATTCTCTTCTGGCTTCACACTGAGCTATATGAGGTGATGACACTGGGAAATGACAAACACATGGTCAGGAAAATGTAAGTATTTGCTTCCATTGCTTGACATTAAGAACTAAACTAAGAGGTGAGATGTCACTGTATGATTGGGGCCCTCAGAGGCTCCCAGACCTCCTGTTGGGAACCACAAACCCAGACTGTCAACAGGGGAGATTTGTCTGGAGGCGTTTGGCTGAGATGGTGCAATATAGGATACTTGATAATGAATGGCAGCAGTGAGAAGATGATGGCAGCTTTGCACACACACCTTCCACAAATGGGCTTTTTATATCATAACAATAACCTCAGTCTGTTGAACATGTATGTTTTACTGCACTATATGGAATAAACAAACTTTTCATTTTAGGTTCTGTGCAAAAACAGATTAAACGTCTGGTGCTGCATCCTCTGATTTGAGTTTTTCATTTTCTTTCTTTATGTTAGTGTTCTCTGCAAATTTTTTACACATTTCACTGAAGTAAAAGTGGAAATACCATGTTACTCCGTGACAGGTTAAACATTAAATACTTGACGTGACCAAGCACGGAAGTGTTAAAGCGATAAGTAAAATGTTTTCTGTTCAAATTAAAGGGAAGTGGCACCATTCAGTATTAAATGTGATTTCAGAATATTACTGTTGCATAATATATGCATATTATCGAAAATAGTCATAGTGGACCTGCAGTTGTGATATTTCCCTCAGAAACTGTTGTGGGGTCGGAATAGAAGCTTTATGGAAGTAGCGTAAAATCAAAATACTTCAGCAAGTTCCTTAAAGTGTATTTGAGTGACGAAGTTTTGTCTGTTTGTTGTTACGATGAACTTCTAAACAATATTAATAAAGTGAGAACAAGTGTCAGACATTGAGGGAAGTCTTCAACAGACTATAAAACACCAACAGTGCAACATGCAGATTCAAAGTACACACTGATCATCTCAACAACAGTTCATGGGAGTGTTTTAATATATTTTTTATTTCAGTGTTATTTCTCTATTTTCCGTCTTCATTCGACCACTGACCCACATATTATAAAACTGTGATTCCGCCTTTGTCCCCAATTAACTGGTCTTTAGTCTGAAATGTGTCCCCAAAGGTAGCCTATGACAGAAACACACACACACACACACAGACACACACACACACACACACACA